CTGTACTTTGTTTCTAAAATTACTACATTCTAAAACTAGAACACTTACATTTGGCTGAGAGTTTAAATCTATGTTATTTTAACTTATGTAAAATTAACTTGAAGATCAAGGTAATTATCCAAATAAATCAACCAAACAAAGTTCTGCAGCACTAGCATACAATGAATAATTGAAAAGTGTATTTTAACCCAAAATAAAATAGCAGATGAAATTTGAATTTCTTTATTTTAGATTTATAATTTGCCAGGGAATTGGTATAGGTGATATAATAATGTCCCAAAGATTTTCATATTTTAGTCCTCGGTCATATGAGATTGCATTTGGAATTGAGATTACTAACTAGATGGCCCTTAAGCAAGGTAATTATTCTGAATAATAAATGAGACTATCCTGAGATAATAACAATGATTCTGATACATAAAAAAGAGACACAAGAGTAGCAGTGCTAGAGTAACACATCATGCAAAATCTCCATGAGTCTTTGTCCTCTGTTGTCCTGGAATACTAAGGAGGCATCTTGAGGAATTAGGCTGCTTCTAGAAGCTGTTACATTCAAGGAAACACGTTATTACCATCTTGATTCTAATTCATGGTTCAAATCAAGCTTCTAATTTAAGAATTATAAGACAATAAATAATGTTTCTTGTGCTGATTTGTCATAGCTGCAATGAGAAACAAGCACAGATACATTTCACAAGTTTGTTACTAGTGGTTCTTGATTAACTTACTGGTTCATACACAGTACCTGAGACTGCCAGGTACAATGTTGAAATTATGCATGTTACTGGTTATCAAATTTAACTTTTATGCTAAATAAATCAACAGCACAAAATTTTGAGTTTTGTCTTAGTCACTGGTCTACTGTTGTGAAAAGACACCATGACTGAGACAGCTCTTAAAAGATAGTATTTAATTTGGAGTTTGGTTACAATTTCAGAGGGTTAGTCCATGACCATTATGGTAGGGAGCAAGGTAATGGGCAGACAAGCATAATGCTGTAGCAATAGTTGAAAGCTTACTCTGATCCACAGGATACAGGAAGAGAAGAGGGTGGGGGACACCAACAAATTCTACATATAAATGGCCCAGGCATCCATTGTCTGTACTGCCTGCACCATGCTCAGCTTCCAAGTTCCTAAAGAACAACTCACTCACTCTCAACACATAGTGTTTTTTCTAGCCCTAAGTCCCAAAGTCCTTCCACAATCCTCCCTAAAACAACATGGTCAAATCTGTCGCAGCAATACTCCTCTTATGGTACTAACTTGTCTTAGTTAGGATTGCTGTGTCTAAAATAAAAAACACCATGACTAAAGAAACTTGTGGAGGAAACAGTATACTTGGCTTACACTTCCACAGCACTGCTCATCACTGAAGGAAAGCAGGTAGGACAGGAACTCGAACAGTGAAAGAACCTGGAGTCAGGAGCTAATACAAAGGACAAGGAGAGGTCCTGCCTACTAGCTTGTTGCCTTGGCTTGACTCATTCTTCATTTTGATAGAACCCAATGCCACCAGCCCACAGATGACAACTCCTACCATAGGCTGGCCACTCCCCCATTGGTCACTAATTAAGAAAATGCCCTACAGCTGGATCTCAGGGAGGCAATTTTACAATTAAGGTTCCCTCCTTTCAGATGACTCTACTTTGGGTTAAGTTTACTTAACTAGCCAGGAAAATGTTGCAGAGACCCTGACTTTCGTTCCCAGCACCAAGGTTAGGTACCTCACAATCACATGTGTGGAATATTCATTTATACTGTATAAATATATGTCATTATGATTGGTTTAATAAAGAAGCTGACTGGTCAACAGTTCCACAAGATAGGGTTAGGCTGGAGAACAAAACTAAAGATACTGGGAAGAAGGGCAGAGTCACCAGCCAGGCATGGGGAGAAAACAGGAGGTGCAAGATGAAAGAGATGTAACACCAAGTGGCAGAATGCAAATTAATATAAATGGGTTAATTCAAGTTGTAAGGGCTAGTTAGTAATAAGCCTGGGCTACAAGCCCAAGCATTTATAATTAATATAAAGCCTCTGAGTGATTATTTAGGAGCATTTTCCAGGACAGGAAAACTCTGCATATATACTTGTAACTCTAGTTTTAGAAGAACTGACTTGTCTTCCGACCTTCACAGACACTGTTACATACAGGACCATACCCACATACAAAGAGACACAGACTTAAAAGATAATACAGAGCCGGGAGTTGGTGGCACACACCTTTAATCCCAGCACTTAGGAGTCTGAGGCTAATCGAAGAAGAGGCAGTCTCCCTTGGTTAAGTACTGAGCTGAACTCAAAAAAGCCAGTAACAGAGAGGGAGGACTGATGATCAAAGGGATTAAGTCTGGTCTGGTTTAACCCCCAGAAACAGCTGACCAGACAAAGGTTAACTCTTGAATCCCAGGTATCAGCCTGGGAATCCAGCATGGGACTGATCAAGACCCCCTGAATCTGGGTGTCAGTGAGGAGGCCTAGGGAATCTATTGAGCCTTGGGCAGCAGATCAGTACCCATCCCAAGTATACACACAGACTTTGGACTCCCATAGAACAATGTGAGGTGCACTCTCACCCTGAACTCTTGGGGAAGGGTCTAGGCCCTGCCCTATATGAAATGACAGACTATGCACACCCCCATGGAGGGCCTCACCCTCCCTGGGGGAATGAGGGGATCACGGGGGGGGGGGGATATTGGGGGGAGGGCACGGGAGGAGGGGAGGGAAAGGGAGAGGGACCTGGAACTGACTTGTGAAGCAACCTTGTTTCTTATCTAAATTTAAACTGGAAAATAAAATAAAATAAAATAAAAAACAAAAAAAACAATAAATAAATAAATAATGAACTCCAAATAAAAAAAAAAAAGATAATACAGAGCAGGGAGTTGGTGGCACACGCCTTTAATCCCAGCACTTAGGAGTCTGAGGCAGGCAGATATCTTTGAGTTCAATGCCAGCCTGGTCTACAGAGCAAGTTCCAGGACAGCATCCAAAACAATACAGAGAAACCCTGTCTTGAAAAACCAAAAAAAAAAAAAAAAAAATACAGAAGGAATGGATTGTATTATTTTTTTAAACAGAACATAAAATTTCTATTTTCTGTGTTCAAACAATTTCTATTACTGTGTTCAAGCAATTTCTAATAGCTATTGTAAAACATTTAACTAAATTAACCAAAATACTTTAATTTGAACACACAAAATAAGGTGAATAAATTGGATACAGGGCCAAAAACACAGAATGTCAGCACATAGCATGCTGAGCAAGCCAAAGGCAAGTTTGAGACCAGCCTGAGTTTTATAATGATTTGCCTCAAGATTGATTGATTGATTTTAAATAGGAGAGGGAGATCCCTGGTAAAGAAATATGATCATTTCAAGGGATACAGGTTTATATGTTCCTGGGAAATTTACAATTCCTAATCCGATATTAGCAGGTACGGGCACTTTCAAAATACAAAATCATCCATTGATGCAAAACGTGACATCAGTTTGCTTCAGTCTGTTATGAGCTGAGGGTCTAGGCATGTGTCATCATGTCCCATCTCTGCCAAGAGTGTCAGTGCACAGATGCGCAAATACTTCAGGATGTGTTGACTATTCAATTCCTCATTTTGTACTAGAGTCTCTGGAGATACTACTACTGTCCCTGTTCGACTGTGACAAAGGTTAAGAGGAATTAAGAAACTAGTCATACGACACAAAACAAGCAAAGGTGGCAAAATTGGAATTGAGTTTCCTAAGTTAAGATATACCAAGGTTTATCACCTGAGATCTAAAAGTCCCCATTGATTTTCAGGGATCAGCTGACTCACTTAAAGTCCACACTGACATGGACTCACAGGTCTTTCTTTAGTGAAGGAGTCTGAGAAAGAGGATCAGGAGATAAAGGAAAGAGAAGATAAGGAAGTTTGGGTCTAGAAGGTCTTATATAAGCTATGTCTTATACCTATCAAACTTATTAATAGTCAGGCCCATTATATTCTATTTCCATGGAGAAATGGGTCATGTAAGCAGCATATATCATACAATGAGAGAAAGTCAGCAGGATGCTAATCAAGCAATGTTGCACAAAAGGAACACAGGGAGTCTCAAGGCCATTACAGACTGAGCACACAGTGTTCTTGGGACTGATAACTCTAGTCTCCTCAGGGGTAAAAGCCAAATTCCCAGGAACAAAACATGAACTCCTTCAAGGTCCCAGTTTCAGCCCCAGACTGACCTTTGACAAGCCTGCTATTGAGCAAGGAGACAGAACCATGTTCCTTTTGTCCTTTTCTCGGGGCCTCTGATGAAGCCTTGGCTTGGTCTTACTCCCAGCAAAATGCCTGTAAGAAAGCTATAAACCAAGACTAATACAAATGCAATCATTAAAACACATTTGAATTGTACACAAAACTTTGTTATTGATAAGTAACAAACAGATTCATAACACCAGTTCACCAATCCAAATATGATGTATTACAGAAAGCTAAAATATTTGGTTTATTTATTTAGAGTGGTGTTTGTAGATGCTCCTTGTATGTACTCACCTTTAAAAGTTCATGGTATCCTCAACACATGGAGGACATGCCAAACTCTACACTCCAATTTTAACTTAAATTGGAATAGGTCAAGAATACACGCAGTGTATTTGCTATACTTCAGTCTGAGATATCAAGGTGGGACTATCCTTTAAAATATGTTGCAATAAGATATAACAATCACATTTCAACAATGATGTTCATATTTGCCATTTCAAATCAGATATTCTATAGTTCCAAGAAAACAATATAGATGCTATTAATCTAGCCTGCTTTTGTTGTGACATGTCTTTATATCTTTTATGTCTATGAATAGAAGTAGATTCTCTGTTCAATTTCTACATACACGTCGTTTCATGGAAACATAAATGTCAATCACTTTTATTTTAAACCTCAGCCTACCTTTAATGCACCATTCCAGGCTGTGCTTCAGATTTTCTATAAATACTGATGGCCCAAAAAATAAAGGGCTGGGTCTTCATTAAAAATCATCTTTCTAGGCTTTGGCTGTGGCCAGAGTTGAGATTCGGTGCCCAGGGCCACTGAGACCTCAGTTTACTGCCTGCTGCCCCAGAGTGGGAGGATGAAACCCAGGCTCCTACATTTTGGATAAAAAAAAATTCTGGGCCTATGAGTTTTTGATGTATATTCTAGCCTCCACAACCCATCCCTAAACCCTACAAGAAGGACATGGATCTTCCAACATATTTGAAAGAAAATTCTCAAAACATTTGAAATTATGTACACAGAGGCACTTGGAAGAAAATCTAGCATCCAAATTTGAAAACAGGGTCAACTTGCTGCTGTTTTCTAAGTCAACTGTTTTGTTATTTTATACCAAGACAAGATACTTCCATTTTACCTGTTACCATTCCTTTTACATGGAAGGAAAAGAAATGAAAGTTGGGGGCCCTGTGATGAATCTGCAAACCTACAATAATCACTCTACTTCTTGTGAAGAGAATAATATGCTCCTACTGTTTCCAGCCCCATTGTTCTTTTTTACCGAAGTTACAGCCATTTTTTTTTCTGTATTCTACTCTGAAAGATTATGGACCTAGATCCACCTGCTCTTGCTTCGGGATCAGTTTTCACTCTGTATTGTACGGTTTCCACTAGGTAAGAAGAAAACACCCAACAAAGCAATCTTCTCCTGATTCCGTATCATTATCTTTTTGATGTTTTGTTTCTTCAATCAGGAAAGTCTTGACAATGTTGATTAAAATTATAGCATACAGGATCCACTTTCCTAATTCCAAACCTTGCCTTTCATCTAAACTAATGAAATCTTTCTTTGTTATGTGCCCAAGTAGCCTCAGTGATGATACCTCTCATGGCCACTTCGGTGTCCCCTGAGCCCCTTTACAGAATGTGTTATACCTGATAATCCCCCACTGCCTATCATAGTCCCTTGATATCCATGAGATAACATTTGCTGTTTTCGTTCTCTTCTCCAAACTTTATTCTTCTGATGTCAGCCTTTCCAGGGTAAATCCAAATATTTAGGGGTTTCCCCTGCATTATATAGTGTTACTTCTGAGTGTCAACTAAGTTTGATGTGGATAAACCAAGGAAATTAGTAAGGCACACTTCTAGATGTGCCTGGCCTGTGTTTACAGAGATGATGGGAACATCAACTGACAGGGGTAGGTGGGCCCAAAGGAAAACAAATGTAAACTAAGGAGGAAGCCGAGCAGCAGGTGGGCTTTGTCTGCTCTCTGCCTCTTGAGGGTCTTGAGGTGAGCCAATTTGCTTCCCAGCAGGCACAACCAAGAAATGATGAAATCAAGTGATGAAGGACTAAAAGCTCTGAAACTTGGGCAGAAGCAGAGCCTTCGTCTTTCATTTCCTTCATTATTTACCACAACCACAAAACTAAGATGCATTTCTCACCCTGACCTATTCCCTGAGCTTCAAACTTCTATTCCAAAAGGATTTATGGTAGGGGAGGATGATTTAGTCCAACAGATGCTTGCCACATACTATGAGGACCTGAGTTTGGTCCCTAGTACCATTGGGGGGAAAAATTTATTGGTGGCAAATATTTAGAATTCCAGTGCTTCAGAGGTGGAGACAGGACATCCCTGTTGCTCACAGGTCAGCCATTCTAGCCGACTCAGGAAGTTTCAGGGCAGGGAAAGAGCTTATCTAAAAATAAATAAAGTGGATATCATCACCTGAGGAATGATACTGAAGTTCCTTTTTGAGATTCCACACAGAGGAAAACTCATGTACACATGTGCACGGGAACACACACATACACATACACACAACACATACACACACACACACACACATATACACACACAAATCAATTTATGTTACATCTTCATGGCTCTGCCTAAAGATATCACCTTAATTTAACTCAATTTCATCAGTCAGAATGTTTTAAAACATAAAATAAAATTTTAAATTTCCAATGCTAAAAGTTAATACCTTGATATTAAATTTAGAGTGAAATATAAGCTTAATAACAAAGCAGATATGGTGCTCAGCTACTTTCCCTATGATTAGTTTCTACGCAACCTCTCAATAATTACATATACAACAAGTAATGGCTATTTCAAAATGGTATTTTGAGGTAGCTTATTATACACTAATACAGAAAGAAGTAGGAATGATGATGTAATATAAAGAGATAAGCTGTTGGAGTTTTATGAATTATTAAAGCATTGACTCACATGAGGCATGATCAAAATAACTATGCAAGAAATAACCCTGAAAAATAAAGTCACACAAGAGAGCATTTTATTTCTTAAGATAGATTCCACTTAGATGTCAAATGGATAAGTCAACTTTGATGACTTCATCTAACTGCCATAGGTATTGAATTACTCCTTTAAAATTAGGTGGAAAATGCAGATGTAGTATGCATAAGTATTAGTTAGGATTATTATTGCTCTGATGAAATGCCAGGACCAAAGTTTACTTGAGGGAAAAGGGTTTATTTCACTGACAGTTCCATGTAACAGTTCATCAAAAGCAGTGAGGGCAGAGCTAAAGCAGGGCAGAAACTTGAAGGCAAGAACTGATACACAGCGATGGAGGAGTGCTGCTTACTGGCTTGCTCCTCATGACTTGTTTTCTTATGGAATACAGGACCACCAGTCCCAGGATGGCACCACCCAAATGGGCTAGGCCCTCCCTTGCTCATCAATCATTAATTAAGAAAAACCTCTAAAGCCTGCCCTCATGGAGGCATTTTTTAATTGAGGTTCCCTTCTCTCAGATAACTTTATATTTGTGTCAAGCTGATATAAAACTATCTGGCACAGCATACCATTAACACTTTCATAATTTAAGTGTACATGTATAAAGTCAAAGAGAGGATAAAGTAGAGACTTTGCAACCAGGATTTATGTTGGAAGGGAAAATATGAGATAGAAAAAAAAGAAAGGTTGATGAACCAACTACCCTGCTTTCTCATATGTGGCTTAACTTCAGAATCCATAAGTTGGTAAGAAAGATTTCCTAACTCTTTGGCACAGAGACAACAAACTGTCTCTGTGCCTACAAGATACTGGTCAAAGGATGTTGATGGTAAAAGCAAGAGCATATTTATATAAGAATGAAGTATTGGGGTGTTATGTAATCCAGTAAGGATTTCTCTCTTGACCCAGAATCAGAATATTGAACTGGACTTAATGTTAACTTACAGCATAGAATTGTTAACCCATAGGATTTATGAGAAGCTAAATGAGATAAATATACATATTAGTACACTGACTACCAAAAACCTATATTACGACAGGATTTACTAAGTCTAAAGGCAACATTATTATAATTTTATTATAATTTATTTGTAATTATTAAAGGAATAAGCTTCATGCTACATTGTTACTTTAAAGTTACTGTTTCAAAATGATTAAAGCAATTTACATAAGATGCTAGTCAAAAGAGATTAAGTAATATCCTAAGTACTATATAATATGAAGTCTATGGATATACTCTTGCCCCTCTATTTGTGGAACACTCACTGAAGAAAATGGCATTTAATTACTTCTAACTCTATAAGCTATAGGTATCTTGCCATTTCTATTGGACAATGTTTTATACAAATCTTTTTTCCTTATCACTTTTTGTGCCCCTAGGAAGTAAGTCTCTTATGATGAAAGTTATTTCCTCTGTTGGGCCACATGGATATTGATGAAGCATAAGTTTTTGTATTGATGTGGTTTTTCCATTTCCATACATAGAATCAGGGACATTTATGCTATTCTCACTTATTCCGAGTACTACAGAGATTGAATTTCAATGAACATAAATTATGAGTGGATGGGAGTTCAAATTCCACTTCTTTCAGTAACAAAACCACAATTGTTAACTAATGAAATACATGATGACTACATGCTTTGTCAGATACTAGACTAACAACTGGTTAAAAACTGAAATATAATTTGTCACAACCTTGGAAAGCTTATATAGAATTATGTATGTATCACTTCTCAGTTAAATAGTTAGAAATTGATTACAAGGTGGTAGCATAAAGAGATAGGGACACTGGGAGGTAATTAGGCCACAGCTAGCTGTCTTCTTATGGATAGATGTAGTACCATTGTAGAAGGTTCAGAGAGCCACCTTATCTATCCTATGACAACAGTATTGACCGAACTTTTTCTGTTAAATGAGTTTCTAAAGAGGAAGTACTATCAATGAAACAAGCACTTAGTCACCCCAAATCAGCTGCTACCTTGATCTTGGCATTTATCACCACTTTATGATTAGTTCCAATTGTATGAAAGCTGTACTCTACTATTCAGAGCTTACCTAGTCTGTGTCACTTTATTATAGCAGTAGGTGTGGAGTAACACATAGTTATATCATACATACATATATACCTGTGTGTGTATGTGTGTGTGTGTGTGTGTGTGTGTGTGTGTGTGTGTGTGTGTTCAAATACTGAAAGGGGCACTGGATAGATGGCTTAACAGTTAAGAGCACTTGTTGCTTGTGAAGAGGACTTGAGTTCAATTGTGGGCATTTATATGTGGTCCACAGCTATCTGTAACTCCATTCCCAAGGGTTTCCATTCCCTCTTCTGACTTCCACAATCATGAAGAATGCATGTGGTGCACAGACACAGTTGCAGACAAAACATTCATGCACAGAATAAAATGAATAAATCTAATTTTTAAAAATGAATAAAACTCAAAAGAATTTATTGCTTTAAAATAATCCAAAATTTTGGTTTAGATGTTCTGGAAGGACAAAAATATAAGATTACACTAAAGGAGGCAATGGGGTAATAACAGTTCAGTCACATAGCTGTGAGTCACTGCTTTCAGCCTTTTTGGTTGCTGTGTTTAAACCCCTCTCCTTCCATTTCATTATCTTGATTTGCACAACTTTTCATATTCAATTCAGTTAACTTTAGAGACAATGTAAAGTGAAGAGTCTCAAACTCAACTCTAAATGGAAACAGATTATTTTTCTCTTCTTCCAAAAAGGTATGTGGAAGGCAAAGTGATGGGTTTTCCTAGAGATGTATCTAATTGTTTGGCAATAATTTCTGGTCCTTCAAAAATAGGACTAATTATCATCATGAAGGCAGGGAAGCTTGGGTGGTAATTTGTAATTTTTAGCAGCTTTTTACTTGCAGCATTTTA